ATTCCAGGGCAGGTCTTTGGTCCAGACCAGGGAGCAGAGTCCCTATTCCCTCAACCTCTGTCACAGAACTCCTTTCACACTCAGCTCAGGGAAGCCAGTAATTTCCTGGTGCTGTCTCCCCACCGGCTCTGCCCCACACACCCCCTCACCCTGCCTGAGGGCATTGCTGGACCTGCATTCTGGGGAAGGGCTGCCTGTCCCCACCACTACCAAACACCAGGATCAGGACCAGCCTGCTCAGTCAGCATCTGCCATGGAGGTAAGGGGATGGGGGAGGGGTGTGGGAGTGAAGGGAGGGATGAGGCAGGTGAGCAGGTGAGGGATTGAGGGGAGGGATTAGGGGGTGAGAGAAGGGAGGGAAGGGGATGAGGGGAAGGCATGAGGCAGTGGAGGGTGAGAAGAGGGGTGTAGGATGTGGGATAGGTGCACAGAGGGGGTACAGAGAGGGATGAGGAGAGGGCATGAAGCAAGGGGTGGTGAGGAAAGGGGTGTAGGGTGGGGAAGGGGTGAGGGTTACACAGGGGAGGGGTCAGGCATGAGGGAAGGGGTGAGGCGTGCAGGGAGGGTGAAAGGCAAATGAAGGGGTGTGGGGAGGGGAAAGGTGTGGGAAGGGGAACATTGTTACAACCACTACTGACTAGGCAGTACAGAGAATAACAGCAGGGCTGGACACACACTGACACACACATGTGGCACATGCCAGGTCCTGTGCTAAGATATTCTACATATCATTTCATTCCATCTCCCAACAACCCAATTCAGCAGCTCTTGGCACCCCTATTCTTAGAGGAGAAGGAAAACAAGGTTCCAGGAGGTTCCCCCTCTGGTCCACATTCACATAATCACAAGTGACCCCTCCAGGCTGTCCAAGCTCAGCTGTGCAGCCCAGGGTTGCTGCCCACTGCAGTCTGGGCCAAGGGCCCCTCCACCATACCCCGACCTGCTCAACCACAGTGCCACCTGGTGGTGGCTCCCACCCTGTGTTCTCCTCTCCTCTCAATGCCCTGAGTTCAAAATTTCCTTCTGTGGGCAAGCCTTGGGGCTGCCAGCCACTCTGAATAGGGTCCCTGTTCAAGTCCAGGGGCTGACAAAGAGGGCAAGGTCAGCCCCTCTCCTTCTGCCTCTCCTTCTGCATGCCATTGCCTGCTTTAGCAAGAACCTTCCTGGAGCCACTGTATGTTTGTACCTGGGGAGGCCTGAAACCATACCAATACCCCTCAAACATACAGAGGTTGTGGAACTCAAACATCAGACAGACTCAAACTTGAACAAAATGCAGACATGCCCCAGCATGAGATCATACTGATGTGCCTAGAAGCATCCATGTACTCAGGAAACAGCCCCCAGGGGAGGGCTCTGAGCAGATGGCTCCCCAAGTCCAGATCTCTCTGAGCCAGGCTGCCTGCCTGAGCCAGGCGGGTCACCTCCAGGACCAGCCAGCATGATGCCTCCTCCAGCAAGCCTACCCTGACTGACAGCAGGGAGAGGGAGGCCCTACACAGGCCCTGCAGGCCTGTGCCTCTCCTCAGGGGCAGCCACCACCACAGGTGTCCCCTGATAGGCCTCTGCCACCCCCAGCTCTGTGCCCCAGGGAGGGGAGGCTGCTGCATCAGACTTTGGAAAAGAAGCCTGCATGTGTGCCCAGGGGAACACTGTCTTTGGGGGGGTCTCCTCCAGGCCACAGTGGCCTCTTAGGTATAACTGCCAAGCCAAAGTCACAGTAACCATCTGCCCTGACCTGATGACAGAGACCTGACAAGGACACAGCCTCAACCAGTCCTGGCCAAGGCCTCTGCTTGGGCTGCATCGAGCAGGGCTGCATCAGGCAGGGCTGTAGCCACACTTTCCAGTGAGGCTGCCGCGAGGCTCCAATGCTGGTGCTGACAGCCCTCTGCTGACTCGCAAGATGACCACCACAAAGCTCTGGCCGCAATCCCACAGGGATCTAGGGGATGATGGCCTTGGCCTTCCATTCGGAACTGACGAGTTCTCACCAAAGCCTGGGCTAGGAACCCGGAGGACTTCATGCCCGGGGGTTTTGCTGACCTTTGTCCCAGGCCAGCATGGGCAGGGGCCCACTCCAGCCAGGGCAGAGGGGGCCTCCTACCGGATTAGAACTAAGAAAACCTGAATTCAGGTACTCTGTCTCTTCATGAGTTTACCATCTGCCACTTCCAAAAAAGATGTGTAGTGGCTGTGGCCAGGAGCGTGACTGGAGCTGCTGTCCCTCCTCCTGGCCTGGCCAGGAGAGGGGCTCCCACACAGCTGTGGAATATGCTGGAGCATAAGTGTCCTCGCTCCTGTCTTCCCTACCTGTCCCCTGTGCTCACAGGTCTGCCCACTACAGCCCCTCAAAGGGAGCAGAGCTGGCCTTTGCACGATAGTGCAGCCAAAGCCAGCCTGGCCAGTGGCCTGCATGCAGGGGACGCCCGCCCACTCGGCCGGGCAGGCAAGGCTGGGAATGAGCGGGGGCCAGCCAGTATCTACGGGAGGAAGGAAACTACAGAGCAGCCAAAATCAAGAGTGGGGACGGAAGGGACTCAGCCAAGTGAATAGGATGGGGGAGCAACAAAGGGATCAAAACAATATTCCAAGGAAGTAAAAACAAAGAGGGAGATGGGAGAAACAGGAGGGAACGGTAAGCAAGTTCAGGAGGAATACAAAAAGCTGAAAATTAAATTTTCAGGGTTGTGAGGGGCAATCAGGGAAAGAAGAGGGAAGGAGAGAAAAGGCTGAAATAAAACCAAGGGACACAAATGATACCTAGGTATGTCCGAATCAAGAAACTGCCTGCAAAACACAAACAATCACACGGTTAGTGAGGGTGGCAGGGCTAGGCAGCAGGGTAGCAGGGGCAGCGCAGAGGAAAGCCACCGCAGCTGACAGGCGGCTCTGAGCTGGGCAGATGGTAAAGCATGGGGCCCTGGAGCAGAGGGGGTGGGGCGCCAAGCACAGGAGCCTGAGGCCCCTCGGCTGGAGCCAGACCAGAGTCTCCGGAGCCTCAGCACTGTCACATCAGCCTTGATCCAGGAAGAGGAAGGCTGTGGTGATAGATGCTGGCCTGGTCAGCTAAGCCACAGGCAAGTGCTTGCCTAGGGCTGCCAGCAGGGAGAGTCCTCACGACTTCTGGGGAAGGGCAGGGGCTACCAGCAGGGCCAGGAGCCAAGCGAGGGCCAGAGCAATGGTGGGCAGGGTCTGCAGGCCACCTATAGACAGGACTTCCTCTGTTCCTAGGCCCAGGGCCTTGACCCCAGGCACAAAGCTGCTCTAGGACTGGCCTCATGTCTCACAGTGCCCCAGGGTGTAGGACTGCAGCCCCTTCAGCAGTGGGTTCTTGAGCCCCAAAGAGCAGGCGAACCTGCCTGAGGTCTAGCCATGAACTGCTATCTGCTATCTCCCAGGTCACCTTTGACCTGAGCCCCACAGCAGCCAGGCTGGCCAGTGTGTGCAGGAAGACGCTAGAATACCAGTCTCAGTGCAGGGAGGCAGCAGGTATGAGAATAACTGGTCACCTAGCCTGTTTCTTCCCTTTCTATTCCTTTTCTGGGACCACCTGGGCAAAGGAGAGGTCAGAAGTCAGGGGCATAAGGTCATTTCCCAGGCTCCAAAAGATGGTTCATAGGGCAGACCATCTGGCCTGGCCTACACCCACCCCCTGGAGTCCAAGTCCCCACTGCCCAGGCCCAGTAGCCCAACCCCTTTGGGCAGCAGCTGCAGGAAGGCACCAGGCCTTCACTGTGCCCACTGGGGAGTGTGTGCATGGGGACTAGGGAAGCAGGGCCAGATGTACCCTGTGAGCCCCATCCACCTCACCTTCCCTTCTCCCAGAGGTGGCCCTCAGCTGCTTTCCACAGCACCACCTCCCAGGGCAGGGTAGGGACCAAAGCCACATCCACCCCATGCAGGCCTCTGCCCCCACCCCCACTGCTTACCGCAGAGCTCACCACACCTGCTGCCCCGTGCCACTCTGGCCCTGCCCCAGCTGCCCCTAGAAGCGCCCACATCACTGTAGTGCTGGGGGGCAATCCCACAGCCCACGCTCAGACTCCCCATGAAGAAACTGAGCTCTGTCTAGTCCCGAGAGTGGGACTAGAGTAGAGATGACTCCCCCTGGAACCGTCCCTCCCTACGACCCCTGACCCTCCCTGCCCTCTCCAAGTACACCCAGCCCTCAAAGACATTTTTCCTACAAACAGCCACTAGTGAGCCAGGGCCACACCTGCAGCCCCTAAGGATCAGATCGTGGCTCATATGTAATGGGCTGGGTCAAGCCCTCAGGAAACATCCAGGCTGGGCCTACAGCACCTGCCTTGTCACCCAAATCCCTGGAAAGCAGCATCTCAGAGGCTGTCAAGAACACAGATGACCCACCCAGCAGGGTGCCTTCAGCAGTCCTGAGCTGCCTGCCCAACCATCCTCAGTGCAACCCCCCTCATGTCCTATCCACCCCAGCAGATCCTAGCAGGGCTGCCAAGGATGTCCCCAGGTTGTGGAACACCACTGTCCAGGCCAAGAGGATCTTGACGACCACCACAGAGCTTGGAAAGGAGCAGCCCAGCAATAAGGGCCATGTGCCAAGCAGTACGTGTGGGCACACCTCCAGCCAGGCTGCTGGACTGCCACCCCAGGACCCAACAGGGGCCCAGACGCGCCCATAGCAGCCTGGTCCTTGAAAGTACGTGTCCACTCATCTATCCACCACCTGCCCCGGAACTCCTGAGGATAGGACCCAGCCCATCCTCCAGCTGCCCTGCTGGACCCTCTGCTGGGACAGGGACACATGGGCAGGTGGATGCCTGACCAGCAAAGGAGAAGCACAGAGAAGTAAGCCAAGGGGATGTGGAGCCCACCAGACCCCCTTGCCGGGCCAGTTTCTTCAAGTGTCAGAGAAGAGAGTCAAGAGAGCTTTGAGGCTGGACTCCATGCAGCTGCAGCAGCTGAGGGCCTGGCAGTCTGGGAACAACCCAGAGTGTTGTCCCCCGCCCCGCCCAGGGACTCACCGGTCATCCTGAGCTGGGTGGATGTATCCAGAAGAGAGGATGTTGAGAGACAAGATGTTAGGGTCAATCAGGGACTCATCTGTCTCTGGAGTGTTTCGGATGCGACCTATAGGAGAGGCAATGAGTAGGCCGTGTGTCACTTCCCAGGAGGGCACGTGGGACACCAGCCTCACTGGCAGCCTCAGCCTGGGTGGGGGTCACGTCAGCAAACCTGCTCCCCACAAAGCAGGAGAGTGGTAGAAAGTGGTGCCGGGGAGGCCCCTGCAGGTGAGCAGCTCCAGTCCTGCCCTTGCTGCAGTCTAAGTCTGCCTCTGGGCCACAGCTACGACCACCCACTACCTGCAATGGGCAAGTTCAATTGCAGCCAAGAGAGAACAGGTCTTCCTAACTGCTGGAAAAGGAAGCGTGGGATAGAAAAAGACAACATTCCAGCATTTTTTTTTTTCTGTGAGACAGAGCCTCAAGCTGTTGCCCTGGGTAGAGTGCCATGGCGTCACAGTTCACAGCAACCTCCAGCTCCTGGGCTCAAGCAATTCTCCTGCCTCCACCTCCCAAGTAGCTGGGACTACAGGCGCCTGCCACAACACCTGGCTATTTTTTGGTTGCAGCCGCCATTGTTGTCTGGCGGGCCCAGGTTGGATTTGAACCCACCAGCTCAGGTGTATGTGGCTGGTGCCTTAGCCCCTTGAGCCACACGAGCCCCAGCATCTTTTTATAATGATGATAGTAATAGAGAGAAAGAAGAAAAGAAAGAAAGAAAAGAATGAAGGGAGGGGAGGAAAGGACAAAACTTAAAATGCAGGGTTTGGGGATGGTGACCTGTCAGTCTGCAAAGGAGGCAAGAACCATTACGAGGCAAGAATCTTCCCTAATTTCTTGGCATGGTAGTGCCATTCTGGTCATTCAAAGGAGTAAACAAACATGTGTACATTTTATTTCTTAAGCCAGGAAGGAATGACCAGGCCTTCGCTTGTCACCACACTGAGACAAAACCAAATTCAAGACACGAGGGCTTTGTGGGGGCGAGTGCATGCTGGGCCCACTCTGCCCCATTTCTGGAAACCTGACATGTGAGCTTGTGGCGTTGCAGTGTTTAGGCTTGGGAGGAAGGGGGTTGGGAATCCCAGCAAAGCACCCTTTCTCCATCCAAGGCCCTCCAGGTCCTCATAGGAGGCAGTACCCATGTGGGCCAGTGCTTCATAGAGCTCTCTGCCTGCCCAGAGTCTGACCAGGCACCCAGCCTACAGAACCTCACCCATGAGCCCCTAGTCCTGCCCTTCTGTCGCCCATGGCTCCAGTCTCTCCCGGCCCTGGAGCCTACCCACCCACCACTCATGGATGCCTGAGGTCTCTCCTGGACCCTCACACCTTTTGCTGATACCCTCTCTACAGCACCATCCACCCCACAGGGCCTAAAAGCCCCACGGCCCTCCAGGGAGGGGCACTGGGCTCAGAGTTCTAGTGGGAGCAGAAGAGAGGTCAGCTGTTTCCCAGAAAATGATGACATTGCTTCCCAAACTGAGTCCAAGCATAGGTCTGGTTGGCTACAAGCCCAGAGAGGTAGAACTCAAGCCTCTCAAGCTACTGAGGGGCCTGAGTGTTCATCCCAGTATCACCCCAAATCCATTTAAGTAGCCCCTCTTGCCCCTGACATAAACAGACACTCTTGTCAGCACTTCCAGAAAGGCAGGCAGGGTTAAAAGAAGGTGGGATCATGGGAACAAGTGCAGATCAGAACAAGACAGCCTGAACAAGAGTGGATGGAGCCCAGACAGCGAGCAGGTGGCCTCCACCATGCAGACCCCCTTCCATCCCACATGTGGCACTGCCTACAAGCGTCCTTGCCCCTGTGGTGTGACAAGTTCCATAGCCAGGTGTGCACTTTTGCCCTTAAACTGATGCCCTGTTTTCAGCCTTGCCCTAAATGACATCTGCAGGTGGGTTTGTGTGCTTAATCTGCAACTTTTCTGACTAGTGTTAAATTAGACACAGAACTTGTAAAATAATAGCATTTGTTTTCATGTGCCAGACCTCCTTGCCTACCGTCCTGCCCTGCAGGATGCAGGGTGATGGGCTAGGCAAGACCCAGGAAGCCGCCCTGGTACAGCTAGAGCTACCCCACCAGCTGCCGCAGCGCCAGGGCTGGCTGGCACTTCTACAGCAATACTACTGCTCCAGGGTGGGGTAAAGGGTCTCATGCCCACTGCACTCACAAATGAACAGTTATCTGAGTCCTGCACGAAACTAGGAAGACAAATTCTTCACAACTTAGCAGAGCAACATCTAATAGACCAAGGAGCTCCCCATATGAAGTCACAGGAGGGAGGCCTGAGGTCCTTGCTCATGGCTGTGGGCTGAACTGTGCTCCCCATAGGATCTGGTGAAGCCCTAACCCCAGTGTCTCAGCGTGTGACCTTATTTGCACAGAGGTCTCATGATGCCATACTGGAGTAAGGGTGGGCCCTGACCCACATGCCTGATGTCCTGGCAGCCAGGTGAAAGTGGAGTAAAGTGTCCACAAGCCAGGAACACCAGCGACACCACCCCAAGCCAGAAGAGGCAATGAAGTGATCTCCACAGGTCTGGGAGAGCAGAGCACCCCTCCATTCAGACCTCTGGCCTCCTCTGCTTTTTCAAACCACTAGGTTATATTTTGCTATGACAGACCTAGAACTCCAGTCCATGGTTTAAATAGGAATTTGTGAATCATCACCAGGGCCCAAGCTGCTCCTTTTGGGTGAGGGACTGAAGCACAGAGAAGTTTTCTGACTTAGCTAGGGCCACACAGGAACCTGACTCTTGGCCCTGAGTCCTGGCTCTCTCAGCAGCCCAGTCACCCGCCTCGCTCACCCACGACCAGCTCGCGCACTTCCTTCCAGCGAATATGGCTGCCAGTCTCATGCAGCAGTGTCACGGTTATCCGTCTCTGGATGCCCTGCAGGCACCAGGAAAGAGAGCATAACCAGATGGCTCAGGGCCACATCTGTGGGGAGGGGTACACGGGGGGGGCGGTTCACACCTGGTGGAGGAGGAAGGTCCCCATGCACGGCATGCCCCCACGGTGGTCCACCACTGCAGGGATGTAACTGGAAGAGAGACCCATGTGAGGTGTGAGGTGTGAGGTGCTGGCCACCCCTCCCCCCTGCACACAGGCCCTAGTTCAGAGAGGACAGGAGCAAAACAGGAACAAAACCAGCCACTCTCTCTGGTGAAGATCAGGTGGCTCAGTCCTTGGACTGGGGTCCTTGGGCACAGAGGCCCACCACGGACCACCTCACTATCTCCCTCCAGCCCCACCCACCATACTGGGAAGGTGTCTCCTGAGGACACTCACTCTGGGCTGGATCTGTTACCACCCCCAACGGTGCCCCTACTTTCCTCATCCCTACGGATCAGCAAGCCACAGCCAGCCACCTGGGTGCAGCTGGCACAGGACCCTTTGCTCCAGCCTGGGCCAGAAGCAGTCTGTTCAGGCCCCACCCCGGCCCTCGGCCAGCTGCTCCTGGCCCTTGCTAGCTCCACCCCAACCACACCCAAGCTCCCACCTGCTACCGAGAGTACCAGGCAAGCCCCCATCCACTGGCCTCTCCGGCCCCCCAGTGTTTTCTGAAATGTCCCTTGATCTCTGTCTAACAGCCACATCACCAACTCTGGCCTTGACCACTAAACCACACTCAGCACCCTCAGGGGCCACCAGTCCATGTGCCTGTCTGTCTAGGGCCCTGTGTCAGCTCTTTCAGAACAGAGGCTTTACTAATTTCATTCCCCAGCAGCCGGATGAGGCCTGGTCCAGGGGGTGTTCATTGAACACCTGCTGAGAGGATGACTCTAGGTGCTGATGACCCACAGGGCAGGTCAGCACCTTGACCTACCCCACTCCCCTGGGGACCCCAACTCAGCCCCAGGGACCTCCCATCCCCAGGGACCCTTGCCCAGTTCCAGAGCCTCCCCAGGAACCCAAGCCCAGCCCCAGAGCCCTTCTCTCACCAGGGTCAGCCCAGCCCTAGGGCCCTCTCTCATTCCCAGGGACCCTGGCCCAGCTCCAGAGCCCTTTCAGGGTCCCTCTCCTCTCTGCCTCTCCTCTGGGGACCCCAGCCGTGCACCAGCACTTACTCGCCATTGGCCTCCAGCTCACAGATTTCGAAGTAGACCAGGAGGTCATACTTGCAGTGGCAGGGTCCTGGAGAGGGCCGTGTCAGTGTGCTGAGCTTGGTGGCAGGCACTGTGGGGACAGAAGGAGGGCATGCAGTGACAGGAGACCTGGCCCATCATGTGCTGAGGATATGCTCAGGAAGGAGGCCATGGGGACCGGGCTCAAGGCAGTCAGGCCACCTCCCCCTCCCCACAAGAAGCAACCTCACACCCCACCCCTGCCCAGGATGTGACCAGTCCGGGCACTGTCAGGTCTCAGCACTTTGCACTGGACTCTATCCTTGCCCCAGGTGGGAGGAGCACATGGCCATACACACCTGGGCACAGCCCAAGAAGAGACCCATGACTGAGACCCAGAGAACCAGCAGGGCAGCAGACACCCTTGCTCAAAAGCCCCATGACTGCACAGGGCCCCTCCGCCATGCTGCCAGGCCTGTCACCAGCACCACACTTTTACCACAGCACACTGCACCAGGCCAAGCACATCACAGCAGCAGCTACACCCTGCCCAACAGGCTCTGCCTCTCAGCTCCCAACAGCCCTCCACTGTGGCAGCTCCAGTCTCTGTCCACCAGTGCACCCCTCACCCACCTCTGTCCACTGCCCCCTCTGGGACCTGTCACAGAGGCCTCTCCTCTATAAAAGCCTTCATGGCTGCTCTATACCTGCAAATCTAAGAGTCTCTCTGCAGGCTGTGGGGAAACTAAACAACACAGGACACACATATGGCCAACCAGGAAGCCTACACAGGCCCAAGGGACTTGGTCAGCAGGAGCTGGGATGTCTACACCCTACCCCCAGTGTGCTCAGCCCACAAAACTTCACTGTAAGGGGGTTCTGAGCACTGGAGCTGAATGCAGAGCCGGTGCCAGAGGCCTGTTCCAGACGGCCACCAGGTCACATGTGCAGACCCAGCACCCATCCTCTCCCTGCCAGCTGCAGACGCAGCTCCTCACGCAGGCTCCTGCCTGCCCACTAGGGCATCAGGGCCCTCACTTCTAGGTGACTTTCCAGGCCCTGAAGGGCTTCAACCACACTGTCTGGCCTCCACCATGGCTCTTTGAACTTTCCCTGACCACATCCCTGGGCTTTGGCTTTTGTCTTGCAGAGAACAAATTCTATGACTTCTCATAACTAAAATCCAATTCATGGCTCAGTGCCCATAGCACAGTGGTTACAGTGCCACCCACATACACTGAGGCTGGTGGGTTCGAACCTGTCCCAGGCCACCTAAACAACAATGACAACTGCAATAAAAAATAGCTAGGCATTGTGCCAGGCGCCTGTAGTCCTAGCTACTTGGGAGACTGAGGCAAGAGAATCGTTTAAGCCCAAGAGTTTGAGGTTGCTGTGAGCTGTGACGCCACAGCACTCTGCTAAGGGCAACATAGTGAGACTCTGTATCAAAAAATAATATAATAAAATAAAATAAAATTCATCAAAACACAAGTCCACTGCCTACCTGATCACAGGGGCAGGGTCTCTGTGTTCCAGGTGAGGGCTCAGCTGCCAATCCCCCTCCTCTCACGGACCCATACACTCACTCCCACCTCCACCCTTGACCCCCAAAAGGAGATTCCTGGGTTGCTTTTTACCCTCAAACCTTTCAACATTCAGCTCAAATGGCCACAGCCCCCTGGAATCCCACAGCTCCCTCACAGCCTGCCTTCCTTGGCTCCAATACTTCTACTGCTGGCCTCAGGTAGCCTCACATGGGCTTGGGGCAGGCCCTTGCCCCAAAAGGAACCCACAGACCCGGCAGGAGTTCCTGAAAAGCATGGGGTGCAGCACCCACAGCATGGCCACCTCACCACCCAGGGGACTCCCGGGAGCCCTGCCTACCTGGCTTGGATAGTGGCATGACCCGGGGGAAATGGCGGCGCGAGGGCCTCAGGGGGCTGTGGAGAAAGCACCAATGTGAGGCACCCAGGGAACAGTGCCTACCGGACCCAGGCTGGGGCCAGTAGACAAAGGCCCCCTTCTGCCCTCTTTCCCACCAGGTCCTCATCAGCCTGGATAGGAGGGAAGAGATCTCAAGACCCTGGACCCCACCCCAAGAGACCCAAGCAGTCGGGGCAGGACCCCAAAACAAAGCCCCTCACTGTCCTTCCGTTTGCTCGACAGCTGGGAGGCCCCCAGTACTGGGTTCTGCTCCATAGCTGGGAGGAGGTGGGGATGAGGAGAAGGGCCCACAGAGGCCTGTTTGCAATTCTCCCTGTACTCCAGAAGGTGGCCAGGGGGTCAGCCTCGCCCAGGGTGAACACCCTTTCATCCCACACTCAAGGGTCCAGGGTGACATGCCCTTGTGCACAGCCCCTTGAGGCCCTCAGTCCCCTGTTTCTCTGGGCCTCAGGAGCCAAGTGGAATGAGGCAGCTGGGCAGATGCTTCCCAGAACTGTGGTGCCTTCCTCAGAGTCCTCAGTGGGCAGCAGAAGCTGTCCTGAGGCCACGTTGGCCACCCTGCAGCCAGCAACCCCTAACCATGTTCAGCTAGAGTTCCAGGTTCCCACAACAATGCTCCTTGAGGACCCCCCTCAGATCTGAGGGTGGGAGGTAGGTTCAGCCCTGGGTCTGAATCTCTCTCAGTCCTGCTGACCCCAGGCCAACAGGGGAGGGAGGTGTGGGCCTGCAGCTCTGGACTGCGAGACGGGCAGATCTGCACAGAGGCTTTGGGGACTGTAGCCCTGGGGTGCTGACCTGAGCACATCCTTGCAGAGGGGTGGGAACGGGTGCTGCTGGTAGTGGCCAAAGACCTCGAACACAATCGGCTGGCTCCTGATGTACTCAATGAAGGACTTGGTCACCTCCACCGCGATCTGTGATGGGCAGGCAGGTTGAGTGGACCAGAGGGCACAGCCATGCCACGAACAAGGGAAGGTGAGCCACACCAGTGAGTGAGTCGTGCTCCAGGCAGACCTGGGCCCCCAGCCAGGCCTACCCTCTGCCCACAGCAAGGACAGCGACCTTCTTTGCAGCACCCAGCCTGACCCCTCCTTCCATCACACAGCCCCAGACAACTCAGTGGGCACAGGTGTCCTTCGGCCTCTCTCTCCAGTATGGGTAGAACCGCAGGGCCCAAATGCACTTCCAGAACAGAGCTTGAGAGGTGACAGGGGGGAAGGGCGGCCTCCGCAGAACAAGCCTACTTGGGGTCCCGCCCGCTTACCCCAAGGGACACACCTAAATTGGGCACACCCCTCCCAAATTCACAAGTGGAAGTCCTGACCCAAGGGCCTCAGAATGTGGCTGCCTCTTGGGCTGGGGCCTTTGCAGAGGTGATCACAGCAAGGTGAGGTTAGTAGGAGGCCCCACCAGCCATGACTGGTGCCCTTTTGGAAAGGGGAAATCTGGACACGGACACTCAGAGGGAGGTGGCGTGTGACTCAACATTACAAACCAAAGGGACAGGCGTGGGAGGGCCAGACAACACGCTTCTGTGACAGGGAGCCCTGTGTCCCCGTGCCCAGGCAGCACTGCCCCTGGCTGGTATTCACAGGGGCCCCGGGAGGGCTGGAGGCAAGCCCAGGGACGTACGTTCTGGACATGGTAGAAGCCGAGTGGGGGTCCCCTGCCCGTGTTCTTCAGGGGCTCCGTGGAGAAGGCCTCGTCATGACGGTGGATAAAGCTGAAAGCAGCAGGAGACACGTGGCTGGCCATGGAACCCACCTGGCATTGGCACCAGTGTGCAGGGCCCGCAGGTTGGGCTAATAAGGCCCCCACATGGCCTGCGCCTGCTGGATGCCCAGGCAGAGAGCCCCACCCGCCCCGCCCCGTGCAGCTGGGACACAGAGGCAGAGGGGCTCACTTAAACTGGCAGAAGATGTCGGCATATTCAGCAGAGATGCTGGACGCCTGCAGCACTGTCACACGGAAGGTGAAGGTGCTCCCCAGGCGCAAGTGGTCCAGGGCGGCATCCAGGGGCCCATCCAGCGCGCCTTTCTCGGGGCTGTCTAGGAGGAGGCCTTCCGGAGGCAGCGCTGCCAAGGAGAGAGTGAGGACACCGCTAGGCCACACTCTTCAAGCAGCAGGGGCTGGGGCTGGGCAGTGACCTACCTGAGCAGGTGTTGTTGTTGACTTCATCAGCCGAGGGCCCCATATCCGCACCCTGGCCTTGGCCTTCCACGATACGCAGCTCTTCCTGGGAGGTCCCTGAGCGGGACATTCCCACCACAGGGCAGGACTCAGACTGGAACTGTCCAGGCAACCAGAGTCAGAGCCGGGAGATAGAGGCCTAGTTGGGGCCATGCAGCCCCAAGTGCAGCCCCCCAAAGGGCTGCGGGGACCAGGGGCTCAGGACCCATGCAGCAGATCTGCCATATCAAGCCTCTCTGGACTCCATGACCTGGGCCCTCTGAGGTACAAGCCATCCTGAGAATATCTTGCCACCCACCTCTCTCTCAGCAGGAAGCACAGCAGCGGGACGGGATGGTCTCTGGCCTTGGTTCCGCCCACCCCACCCCCATCAGGATGCCCTTCCCCAGACATCATCAACACTGGTGAGCACCTCCCAGAGAGGAAGGGCAGACACACCACCCTCCCAGCACATCAGGCACTGAGCTTGCAGGTAACAGGACAGGTTCAGGTCATAGTGAGGCTAAGGAGGAAGAGGGAAGAGCCACTGGGGCCCAGCCTGGGTGCTAGATACAGTGCTAGCCCTTTGCAGGAGGACTGAAGGCTGGTGGCCTCAGGGGAAGCTTCCTTGCTCTCAGGGGTGTCAGATGAGGGAGGTCAGGCTAAGAGGAGTAGAAATGTGGTATCCTTTGGGCCCAGAAGACAGCCAGCCTGAGAGAGGGGAGCCCAGTGGGGCTGAGGGGTGGTCACATCTTAGTGTCTATTCTGTAAGCTAACACGTCCCCCACTCTGTGCCCTGCTCATCTGAGGCTACGGTGGGAGGTGGAGGGCCCACAGTGGGCTTCAAACACCGAGAGACAGTGAGGGGTAGGCTCAGCACCTGGGACCCCAGAAGGACCCAGGGCCCATGAGCAGGAGGGCACCCAAGAGGAGCAAAGCATGTGGGGCTCTGGTGAGCAGCAGGCACCCTGAGGCCTGGGGTTTGGGTGGGAAAACCACCTTTTCAAAATGCTGGTCATCAAAGGAGATTTTAGCAGTTCCTGACTGGCGGACGCCGGAGCCGTAATCAGGGGCCTCTTCATCAGCTGCAGGAGGAAAAGAGCAAGTGGCTGGGGCCTGGCTTGTGCCCCAAGGCAGGTACAGGCAGTGCCAGCTGAGCTGCCCCAAGGTGGGGCAGGGGAATAGGGCGCTCCCAGCCCACAGACCAGCCATGGCTCAGTGACTAGTATGGTGCCAGCCAGCCCATGCTGCCCAGTGGCCCAGAGGCAGCCACAGCCCCCCCAAGCCTTCCCTCGACCTCCCTGTTCACAGCCCAACCCACTGGACCCTAATGGCTTCATCTCCAGGATCTCAGTGGCTTCTCTGCCACCACCTGTGCAAAGCCACCACTGTCTCCCAGCCACGCTCCCATTTGGGCTCTAGGCCTGCCTACTGTACCCTCATACCCCTAGCTGCCCAAGGTCCCTAGCCAGGGCTGCCCACCTCCAGCCCAGCAGTAAGTGAGCAGGCCCGCAACCGAAGCACACAGTCACGGGCAGGGCAGGCATGACTCCTCCAACTGCTGTAGGGTTAGTGCCTTTTCTAAGTTCTCTCCAGAAAATATTAATGAAATGATCTAGTTGTAGGATCTCAACAGGAGGCCTAGAGGCCCAGCCCAGCTTAGGGCACATCCCAGGGGCAGTCCAGTCCAGTTTCCCTGTGTCAGACCTGAGGATGGCAGGGCTATGGTCTGGGCCTTAAGGCCTAGGCTCAGCTGCAATGTACCTTCTTAACTGGGGCCTTCATCTGAGAAGTCAGGGTGCCCCTGGCCCCAAGGGGTGTGGGCAGTGGCCCCTAAAGTAACCCTTCATGCAGAGCTTGAACTCAGGGCTTGGGAAATGGCCAACCTCCACAAAGCCACTCCCATGAGGGGCTGACCAGAACAGCAGCAGTCCCCATAAGGCCTCCAGAGCAGTAGCAGTCAGCGTGGGGGCCACCAAGACGGGGCTGGGAAGGCTCGGCCCAGCCCAGGGATGCCCCCAGTGGGAACTGGTGCAAGGCAGGAACAGGGGTCCTGCACCTCCCTGAGCAATGTCTGGGCTGTGCTCACCCTCTCTTCTAGCTGGTACCTGCGGGTCTTGGCCCCATGATGCCATGGTGACTGCAGTACACTTTTACAGGCAGTACCAGGATCCTGTTCACAGGTGGGCAATTGGAGGCTGACTATGTCCCAGCCCTTGAGGAGGGCCTGAGCAGTGAGAGCGCCTCCACCTCCCACAAGGAAGGGGACCTGTATTTTCAGGCCCACATTGGAGGGAGGTCTGCTGCCTCCTTCCAGTGGGGCCTGAGGCTGGAGGCTAGAAGTCCACACACCTTCCCTGGCCTGGAGACTGGGAGAGAGCACTGCTCTGCACCAGGCAAGGGCCGGGGGTGGGGGTGGGGGTGGTCCTCTGGTTCCATCTGGGGCTGCTGTTGGGATGGTGGGAACCCCATGCCATGGTAGACTCAAATGACTCCCCACTTAGCCTGCATGGCCCCAGGGGGGTCCTGGAGGCCAGGACCAAGAGTTGGGCACAGATATCTTCTCCTTCGGGCCCTGCCCAGGGGCCAGAGCCTGGAAGGATACAAAACAGCTTCACACTGCCCTAAGGACAGGCAAGGGTGGCTTCACACAGGCCACAGAGTGATAGCTGTAGAACAGGGGTCCTCAAACTTTTTAAACAGGGGACCTGTTCACGGTCCCTCAGACCACTGGAGGGCCAGACTGCAGGCCCCGGGATGAGTCACCTGCTAAGCAGGACAGGCAGCAGTGGCAAAAACACCCGACAGACTGGATAAATGTCCTAGGTGGGCCACAGTTTGAGGACATCTGCTGTAGAGGCCCCACTTCAGCCTGTCCTCAAAGGTGAAAGTGGCCCTGGGTCCTCCAGGCCATTCCCGCAGCCCACACGCACCTGAGATGGCCTGGACCGCCACACGGAGAAAGCCCTTCACTTCACCCTTCTCACTGACGATGGCCACACGGTGCACCAGGGGCACAGGGTACAGCAGGTTACTCAGGTACACGAAGGCCCTAGGGGAGCAGAGGCTGCGCTCAGGACCACCCCTCACCGTGTGCTCTGAGCAGCAGCCGCGGCAGCACGGCCTGGTTCGCAACACAACACAAAGCTGCCAAGCAGAGGGAAGCTGCCGACAGCCGGGCTGGGGCAGGCAAGGGCACTCAGAGACAGGAGGAGGAGGAGGGACAGAGGAGGAGGTGCTGCGTGAGCACAGGCACAGCCTAGCCTGCCCAGACCTGGCTGTCTGAGAGGAAGCCCGGGAGGGAGGTTCCAGCCTGCTTCAAGAAGGACCCAGACCATACTGAGTGCCGCCATGGCACTGCACAGTCAGCCAGCGGCCTCTGCCTCCTGACCACTTCCCTGTGGCCTCTGACATTCCTGGGCCCCATAGTGGGGTATTAATCTTCCCAAGCCCCTTTAACCTCAGTGAGAAGGAGTAGCTCAGACAGTGCATAGCCTTCCCAAGGCCTGGGGGATGCCCTAGGCCCCCAGTGCTGCCCTGCCTGCCCCACTGACCACCCAGAACACCAAGAAGCCTCCTTTCCCAGGCAGCTTGGCCTTGCCAGCCTGGGCAGAGGCCATGGTTACCAAGATGGCTGTTGCATTCCCTGTGCTGGCCAATGTGCAGCAAAAGGACAGAGAAGACCCTGGGGGAACACCAGCCACTCAGCTAGGTGGCAGATGGCAAAATCCCCACTGCTCAGGAGCTCTTCCTACAGAGGGGGGCACCTGGCAAAGGTCAGGCTGCCCAGGTGAGATGCACTGTGGTGGACCCTCCACCTAGCTCAGGCTTCAGCCCACGGACCTGTCTCTGCAGCCCAACCGCCCCTCCAGGCAGCCCCCACCCCACCCACAGGTGCAGATAACCACAGCCTTGAGCTCCCAGAAGCAGAGGACATCCTGGAGGAAGGCACAGCTGGTATGAGGGCAGGATTTGGACACAGGAGGGTGGGAGGCTCAGGAAGAGGCAGGGGAGATGGCAAGAGGGAAACAGCAGGGAGGCCGGTCTAAGTGAGGAGGAGGGATGCTGGTGGGAAGGCCACAGTCTGCTGGCCAGGTGGGTACTGGTGCAGGCGCAGGGCCTCCAGTGCAGGGAGGAGAGGTGAGTCAGTCACCTGCTCCGTTCAGCTCACTCGGGGGTAAATGAGTTCCATGACCCTGCTGCAGACACTGTTCTGAGCACTGTGACCTCAGACACAGGGAAGGGCCACGCCTGGGCCTCTGCCCCAGAGCAGCACCAATAGGGCTGCAAATCTCCCCTGGGCTCTCTCTCAGGTGGGCTCCTAGTCTTGCCCCCCACCATGCTGACTTGTACCACCCAGGCCTCCTTTCCACTTAAATCCATCAGTTCTACCTCAAAAGTTTAACTGATGCCCCTTTGGTGGGTCCATCACCAGCACTAGTCACTCCCCAAGCCCCCCCCAGCAGCCAGAAGGTCTCAAGGTGTCAGACAGACCCCCATGCCCTTAAAGGCTCCTTGCAGGGGCATCCACACACCCTGGGGGCCCTGAGTGACCGAGGCCTGCCTCCCTCTCCTGACCAAGCTTGACCCCAAGCTACTCTCAGGCCATCAGTGCCTGATGACCCCCCACCCCAGGTCTTTCCAGTGCTCCAGGCCTACTATGCCCACCCCTGGCCCCAGTCCCCTGGGTCCCCATGTCCTAGAACCCCACGAAATGCTTCCCTCACCCACCACCTCTGTCCAGACACAAGTCCTTCTTTCTTTCTTTTTTTTTGTTTGAGACAGTTTCATCATAGATCCTGTAGAGTCAAACTCTTGGGCTCAAGCAATCCTCCTGCCTCAAGCTCCCGAGTAGCTGGGGTTACAGATGCCTGCCACAACACCCAGGTAATTTTTCTATTTTTGGTAGAGACAGGGTCTCACTTTTGCTCAGGCTGGTCTTGAATTCCTGAGCTCAAGGGATTCTCCTGCCTTGGCATCCCAGAGTGTTGGGACTATAGACGTGAGCCCCCACGCCCAGCCCATGAGTCCCTCTTTGTGACAGATTCTCCTGCTTTCTGCACACATAACTGCTCAGCAGAACCTTCCATCTGGTCCACAGTGAAGTCCCCAGACAGTTCTGAGGAAGTAAAGGGAGACTTCCTCTGCTCCAGAGGGCAGTGTAGGGGGGCACTCCGGCCCCTATGAGGGCAACTACAATGCCCCTGCCACCCTGACTGACCCAGGGGTATGGGCTGTGGCTCCACAGGCCCTGCTCATCGACCCAGATCAGACACAGAAGCACCAGTGGAAGGCAACCTGGCCCTAGCCCCAAGAGGAAACGGAAGTCCCTTGTTCCCATCCCGCAGGGCACCCAGCAGGCAGGAACCAGCCAACATTCCCCTGGGATGAGAATGCTGGTGGCCTTCCATCTCCAGGGCCCCTGGGCCCCTGGACAAAGGCCTTTGCTTGAAAGCACAGGTGAGGAACGAGGTTGCCATGAACCTGTCCAGAAAGAACATGGAGGGAGCCCAGGACTCAGGCCTTCAAGCAGGCATAGGCCTTCCGCTTTGGGGGAGAACTAGGGCATCAGGTAGGGCCCCCTGGTTTGCAAGAAGCCCAGGGTTGGTGGGCAGAAAAAAATACTGGGAAGGCCCTGGGCACAACCTGCCCCACTCTACCCAGGGCCAATTCCACAGGGGCTGGCTAGCAGTGAGCAGAAGCTGGGCTCAGGGGCCACCCAGACGTGCCATGGAGGTGGCCCACAAATTCCTGAGCTCCACAGGACCACACCCCAAAGGGTAAGGCTTCCCCACCTGGGTCAGGGGAGGGGTCATATCCCTTCGGAGCCCCAGGTCCCACACTGACCCACTTCCTGACTCTCTCCCACTGCCCCACGAAAGGCCATGTCTGAGAGCATCTGAAGCAGCACACAGAGAAGTGAACTGAGGGAGGGGCGAGGCTGCAGCAGGTAGGCCCCAGCCAGGCTCCCTCCACAGGGCTCGCTGCAGAACAAGCCCTGCCAGAAGCCAGCTACGAGCCCCCAGAGGGGACATTCCTGCTGTGTTGCTGACCTCGGCATGGGTGCAAGTTCCCCACAAGTCAGAGGCTGGGCTCAAGGACAAAGCCTGGGCCCCTTGCTTCCTGCAGACTTAAATCACCCCATTGGGAAGCATCATGACAGCCCAGGATACTGACAACTCCGAGTGAGCAAACAGTAAGGACAGCCACTGGCCTCATTCACATGTGGGTGAGATACAGCCCAGACTGCCACAGAGGCAGAAACCACTCGGACTGGGGCCCTCGAGGGACCCCTTGGCTGAAAGTTGGGTGCTACACAATGGAAATGACCCCTGGGGCCTAGGGTAAATACCGCCTCCCATCTTGTCTGAACCTCATGACCCACTGTGGGCAGGTGCACCAGGCATGCAGGACACCCAGGGTAGAACACGAATCTGGCTGCAGGTCTGGTGTTGGACGCTCAAGAAGGCAAAGGAAGCTCACTGGCCACATTCCAGTCTGCGATAGTGATGAACCTAGGGCCCAGCGCCCACCATCCCCAGGAGTGTATCCCTAGCCTGGAGGGGGCTGTGTTCTGAGCCTGGAAGACACCCCTGACTTTGTCCACCTAGGGTGTGAGTAGATAGGGCAGAGCCTAGGCGCCCTGCATCTCAGAGCCTCATGCCTCTGCCCAGTGGAGACACCCCCTAGGCCTCCGACCTCAGGGCCAAGGAATACTCACCTGCCCCTCACCTGCCCTCAGGGGGCCAAAGACAACCTGACATCAGTGCCCACCACCACAGGGGCCAGAGCACAGTCCAGCCTGGACTCTGGGAGCCACAGCCACACCATACCCACACCACACAGTGCAGCTCCCACGACCTCAAGGCTAAGAAACACTGTCCACAGCCACTCTACAAAGACTAGGGCTGAGCAGCCCTGGCCAACAGAGCGCACCCAATGGGAGCCTAGAGAGCCCTCACCAGCCCTGCGGGCACTGAGCTGACCCTAAGCACAGCTCTCACGAAGGGGCAACCTTTATCCAGGGGCATGGCTGTGGACATGCCCTTGAGCTGTCACCTCCCCTCCCTTCCCACCCCAGGACCCTCCCCGGGACCCACCTCTCAGGTAGTCAGGCTCTCACCCTGTTCTCCTTGCAGCTTACAGGCCCACCCATCCTCTTTTGCACCACCCACCCTCTGGGAATGTGTAGTCTAGGTGGGAAGGATTAGCCAGGGAAAATCAGAGCTCCCCCAGGCCCACTTTCTCAGCCTGGGTAGTCATCCCAACCCTCCTGCCTCCCTGGTTCACCTGGACCCCAGACCACCAGAGGCCAAGGCGCCCTGAGAGCTGGCACTGGCCTTGGGTGAAAGGCCCTGGCTCAGGACGTGGGAGGCTGGTGCTGGATGGCCTTGCATGGAGGCGAGGGTACCTTGAAGCAGGCTGAAACCCACCCCAGGAGAGGAGGCAGCTGAGGCAGACAGAGCGAGGGCTGAGTGTGACGTGGCAGGAGGGAGGAGGCAGGCGCTAACCACAGATTGGTGAGGTGCAAAGACGCATGCTGGGACCCCGGGAAGCCTTTCCAGAGGGGCGAGAGTGGGTGCCCCAATTTTGCTAAAGCTTTGGAGAGAGAGCTAGCAGCTACCAGAAGAATAAACGGAGCATTAACGAGGGCCCTTTCCAGGGCCTGGGCCTGCACAGCTGCAGCGCGGGAGAAGCCAATTCTTGCCAAACGGAAAAGATCAGGATGACTCCAAATGTAGCCCTTCACACACCGCCCGAGACATGGGGGCTGGGCCTCTCTCTGATGACTTTGCCTTGGTTTGGTAGTTTTGTAAAATCTCAAATCCACAAAAGGGTAGAAAACGTTGGAAGGACCCAGCTCTTTCTGGCTGAGACTGCAAGAGCCCACGCCCCCTTTCACCCAACATCCTCGTCCCCTGCATGTCCTGGTCCCTCACCCACTTGACACCCAGAGCCACTCTTTGAGCCCAGCAGGGGCCTGGCCCTGCAGCCTGGGGCTTTCTGAGGGAGGTCCTGGTGGAGTTGGCCTTGGGCTCTGCACCTCCCTCTTGTGCCTGGCAGGCCCAAGTGTCTTGGAAGGAGAGGGCTATAAATTTTTACCCTTTAGGCCTGTTTAGTTCACCTAATGTCAGCCTCATCACAGTCATGGGAGACCAATCCCATGGGAACCAGCTGCCTTCCAGGAGGGAGGCTGAGGCTTCCACTCTGTCATTTCCACCCAGGGATGAGGTAGGCTGGCATATGCCCTCTGGCTTATCTGGGGCTGCCTGCAGCCTTTGGCTCTCAGAATTCCAAGCTCAAGACTCCTGAAAATTCTCACTGGCCTAGGCCAAAGGCCGCCATTTCAAACACCAAACCAGGTTGCTATTAAAATATCTTCTGCCTTTTACAAATGTAAAATAAGTAAATCCAGCTGTTTCCAGAGCTGAATTTCCTCCTACTATGGCTGGGCTACTACTACTACTTCTGATTTTCTCTTCACCTGACTGACTGACTTCTCTTCTGTGATAATAAACTCGGAGGCAACTATATTTGCCAAATCCACCTGAAGGGCAGGGCCCCTGTTCCCTGGGCCTGGGCTTCTCCACACCTCTGTTCCAACTCCTGACCATGGCCTCTCCCACATATCCAGGAAACCTGATAACCAGCCTCTTTCTGCAAAGGGCACATTCCGTATGGGCACTGAGCCTGTGCCCACATCTCTGGCCATGGCAACCTGGAAGGTTGGGAGGGATGGAGCCATCCTCGTCTTTAGACAGACAGGATCTGCCCAGGTCCCACATTTGGGGGAAGGTGTGGGCAGGCAAGCAGCTGCCTCCACAGCCCACAGGAGGCCCTGCCCTCCAGATGCAGCCTGAGTTCTCCTTTCCGCACAGTGAGTAGAGTGGCCCTGAGAGCCTCTGTCCCCTCTGGACCACAGTGGAGGAGGGTGAAGCCTCTTCTTCAGCCAGGACGACGCCGATCCTGGGGAAGGACTGGCACTTTCCATGGTAATAAACACAGAGGCAGCTATATTTGCCAGCCCTCACCTTTCAAATACCACTTAGACTCTTAGGGAGGAATTGGGGTATCTGGTGCCTGAGCCAGTGGCTACCTCCTGGGGTTCCTATGGCCTCACTGCAGATTTAGTCCCACCTGCCCAGGCCATAGCTGTGTGCTCTGGGCCACACTGCCTCTTCTATGACTGGGGCCTGAAGTCTCCCTGCTGGCCCAGAGCAGCCATCTCCAGGGACATGGGCGCCCAAGTGCCCTTGGGCCCCTCCAAGGGGCCAGCCCCCCCACCTTGCCGGGGGAGGCCCGGGGTCAGCCCTGGCGGCCCACCTGTGCCCGAGCAGTGCTCCTGTGCAAAAGAGCTGGTTCCTTCCCAGCATGCTGTCCTCGACCTCACCAACCTTCCTACTAAACTGAACAGGGGGGGCCGGTCGTAAAACGGGTCCCGGCCGTCGCACAGCACGTGCTCCGGAAAGACGTCGTCCTCCAGGTCCTCCTCCTCCTCCTCCTCCTCCTCCTCCCCCACACTCTGCTCCTCGGCAGGCTCGGTGGCGTCGGAGTCGGGGCTCGAGAAGGTGGGGGAGGGGGTGAGAGCAGCCATGCGTTCGCTCATGCATGTGTTGAGAAGAGGGTGGCTGCTGCAGCCAGAGACGGCTGGACTGAGGTTAGTGCGACAAGACAGAGAGAAGTTAACACCAGCTACTCGCGGGACAGACGGGGTGGGGCAGGTGGGAGTCTTCTGTGTAAAACCAAAACCAAACACATAGACCATCAAGAATGCTGTTTTAAAAGATGAGAGAACCAAAAATGCACCCCATCCCCAGGCTTGGAAAGAAACCAAGTATGGTCAGCAGGAAGGTTCCAGAACACACCAGCAGGTGTAATTGAGAACACGGGTCCCGGCCAGGTGTGACTGAAGCCATGTGAGGACCCCATGAGCTTGGCCATGTTGAGGCCTCAGAATATCAGTCATGGGGGTTGTGGGGGCCAAGAAAGGAGGCAGGGCTCTCTGGGGCCCAGGTGAGCCACCCTCAAGGTCAGCAAGTGACCGGAAAGCTTGCCTGGGTACCTCCTGCACTCACACACATGGACCCTGGGCCTACAGTGGGTGGCAGTGCTGAGACTCCAGCCCAGGTCCAGGTCCCCTGAAATAATCAGGCCTGCAGGGTACAGAGGACCCTCGGACTGGGAAGCACAGGTCAGGGGTCTGGGGACAGGAAAGGGTATCTTGGGGCTCCTTTCTCACGCTAGGCCAGGGCCTTGGGAGGAGACCCACTCCCACCCCCACTGGTGTCTCTGTCCCTCTCACTCTCTCAGCCAGGAATGGGAGGAGGCGCCCACCTGCCCACCAGCCGGAACCAGGGGAAACGGTCGTAGAAGGGGTCTCCGCCGGTCACCACATTGTCACAGTCCTCAATGACACTGGAGGGCACCTCTGCCGCCCGGTCGTACATTTCCCGCATCAAGTCGAGGCGCTGCCTGCAGGACGGCAGGGGCAGTACGGGGTTCAGGTGGCTGGCATCACACACCTCATCCTCCTGGGAATGGCTCAGCCCAGCTCCAGCCCCACCACCCTGCTAAGGGTTATCCAGGCTCAAGGGGTTTATGGAACAGAAACCCCTCTGTGGCCCTAGGCATCCTCAACCACGAGGGACACTGAGCCAGATAAACGTGTGCATTCACCTCTTAGACCTCCCCAGGTCCTGAGTGTCAGCAAAGAGGCTTGAATAGGCAGGACTGGACAGGGGCTGGGGGGCAGGCCAGATGGGGGGACAGAACCGCACAAACTCAGAAATGGCCATGATGTCACAGAGCCTGAAAGCTCAAGGAACAAAGGGAAAACTGCAGGTGGGGCATGGAAGACCCAGAAGTATCTGAGAAATTATTATTCCTGAAAAACCATAATGTCTCAGGAGAAAGGAGACACAATCATGTGGCCTCCGGGGCTCAGGAACAACACACACAGCACAAACAGTGGACATTCACCCTCCCTGAGGACAAATGACAGCCGCCAGGAGAACAGGAGGGGAAGAGGGGCACGAGTTTGCTTGTGTCTGGATGTGTGCATTTCCAGATGCCTGTGTGTGTGTGTGTGTGCGTGTGTGCGCGCGCGCGTATGTGTTGCCCTGGGTGCATGGGTATGACCACTGATGTGTGTGCCTGTCAGCTAAAGAAAAGTATGTGAATGCCAACTGAGTTTGTGTTAGTGTGTTTTTAATTTTCTATTTGTTATGGTGCTTTGGGCGCTCCAGGGGCCTTCCAGGCTTGGAGAGCCCCTCCCAGGTCTAGCTGATTCCTGGAGTCAACAGCTTGTCGGTGTGCCCACCTTTCACACGCAAACCCATCATACCCCAAGCACCTCATTCCTCTAATTTTTCACCCAGTGAGTCAACATTCCCCATCCTGTATTGCTAAGGCCCATGCACCACATGAGGGTTGGTCCCTATGCACTAGAGCCCTATGGAACTATCCACTCTGGCCAAGCTGAAGCAGTCTCCTGCCCAGCCTTGCCTTTGCCATGGAAACCCCATGAAGATTGCTCCTCCAGACCAGCCTTGGAGCCTTCCCTTGGGCCCTGAGGACAGGCTCAGCCTCTATGTTCTGGGGTACAAGTGACATCCCAGTCCTCCCTTGATGGTCAGTCCTTCCACTGACCTCTCTGAGTGGTTACTCAGTCACCTGCACAATCTAAGGACTGGAACACATCAGTCAGCATGTGAGGATGGCAGAGCTGAGCTATGGGGAGGGCACACAGCCTAACCAGGCCAGGAGGAAGGCCCTGCATGCCCTCCAGCCATACCTGAGCTTCTCCAAGGTCCAGTAGTGAGTGGCCCCATTCTTCTGGTCCTGGACCTCCACAGCCACAATGGTGCGGGGGAAGGGCCGTGTCTCTCTGTCTTTGGCGGCCTCTGGGGGCAGCAGGTCAGGGGGCAGAGGGGAGTAGAGCGTGTCTGTAAGGAGGACAAACTGGAACTGGACCTGCAATGGGCACAAGATGACCTCATCAGCCTCGAAAGGGCTTCCCTCCACCTCCCAGAAATTTCGGTTGCGTGGCTAGAACCTTCCAATCTACCACTGAAGAAGACCACCTGCTCCCCGCCTGCTCATGGCCCCACATCACCCCTGAGCAGGGAGGGCACAACATCCACCTTGGCTAGTCCTGAGCCTCCCTAAACGACCCACCCTTCTGGGAGCCACCCCAAAGATGGCAGGGCCCAGTGCCAAGGCCTGGCCGTAAGTGGCCATCCCTGTCACACACAGGCAGATGCCCTCTCTCCAACAGAAATGAGGCGGTGCAGCCAGCCAGGCAGCCCACCTTCTTCTTCAGCTCCACACTGATGGCGTTGGCCTCCTTGAGGAAGATGGCATTGCCCCACAGCAAGTCCCGCAGGGATGTAAACTGGTACCACTTCCACTTCCGGAAGGCCCACAGCGCCAGCTCACACTCTCTCTCCGTCCATTGGACTATGGGGAGGGGCCGTGTGGTCAGCACAGGAGGGTCAGGACACTGCCCCCCCACTAAAATGTCAAGCTGATTGGTCACTCTGTGGAGCTCCCCATGCTGACCCTGTGCCTGGTGCATGCCAGGGTCAGCAGGTAGAAAGATCAAAGGCTGAGGGGTTACTCCTCCACAGAGTGACCTACAAGTGGATAGGCAGGGCTGTCCAGGCCCCTCTCCTCAGGTTCCCTCCCACCTTGGGCTGGGGTCTCTGCTTGACTCTCAATTTCATACTAACTCCCCTCAGTGCACAGAAAGAAAATCTGGGAGAAAGATCTGCCATGGTCAGCAATGTGAAAAGTGGCCCCCAGAAGAAAGAGGCTGTCAGCTCCCTGGGTAGAAGAAGCCTCATTGAGCATCAGCTTAAAGGTCAGAAGGGTTGGGGGCAATACCACCAATGACAGCCATACATGCCATCTGAGGCCAGTGGTGGGCCAGGGGAGAGCAGGCAGGCAGGCAGGCCTCCCACCATAAGCTCTTTGGCCTGCTCACCCACCATCCCTGTCTACTGGGCCCTCAAGTGGACCAGCAGGGACACCAGAAGAGGCCTATCTTTGTACCAATCACCCCTGGCCTTTGGCTCCACCCACCACCACCTGATCCAGAGCCCCCAAGCTTTGCAACAGGAAAGGAGTTTCATTGAGTAGAGAAGGCCAGGCAAGGGGCAAGACCAAGGTCGCAACAGTACAACTGTGCTGACTGGGTGGCCAGAGGCCAAGATGGCCATGAACTCCTGTCCCCGGTTATACCCTACCTGCCTTTCCCGTGGACCTCCCTGATGTGACAAAGGGCATCCTGAGGTAAGGTATAGAGTGGACATTTCCTCAGGGCCCCCATGAGCCACGTCACCAGCAGGACAGGATAAGTGGACACACACAAGCGTAGTAAGCCTGGCCAGCCCATCCCCTCATCATCTGGTGCTCCCATCAGAGCCAGCGTGTGTTTGCACACAGTGTATGCAAGTGTGTGCACATGCACATGTGCATGCGTGTGTGTGTGTGCGCATGGGGGACCCTGCCTGCTGCAACACAGCCTTCCCTAATTGCCAGGGTGAGGAGGTATCTCCCTGAGGGATCAGTCTAGATCCCAGGGCAAAAGTGCCCACCTCCAGGGTGGGCCCAGGGACTCCGTCTCCTTCCAGGCCCTGCTGCCCCCATGCTCAGGCTCTCCTGAGAGAGCACATGCTGGCCTGAGTATTCTCTCACCTTCGTCCTCCGGTTCCTCCTCCTCCTCATTCACCTCTGAGTAGTACCTGGAGTCCATCTGCTTCTGCAAAGCCTCCAGCTTGCTCTCGTAGTCCTGCAGAAAGCAAGCCCTGTGGCTGACCATGGACAGCATGGTCCTCCAGGGCCCTCCCTGCCTGGGCTTCTCACACCCCACGGCTCAGACCCAGGAGATAAGGGCAGGAGTGTGAGGGGGCCAGGGCCCAGGAGGGCAGGCAAGGTCCTCACCAGCCTCTGCTGCTCCAGCAAGTAGGTGGCCTCCTCTCGCTCACGGCGGTACTGGTCCTCCAGCTCTTGGAGCCTGCAAGGGGGCGGCAGGGTGAGTGTGGGCAGTGGGGGTTGGGGGTGGGCACCCGGCCTGGGCCTCACCTCTGCTCCATCTCCTGCTTCATGTCAATGCCCTGCTTCTCCAGCAGTTCGCGCTGGGCGAAGGCCCAGTCCACGGGCTCCGCAGGTGTCTCTGCGCAGGGTGTGCGCTCACGCTCCTGCCGGGCCTGCTCAGGGTGGTTGAAGCGGAACACATGGCTCTTCCCCATGATGATGCGGTTTCCTGGGAGACAGAGGCAGAGCTGGCCTTGGGGACCCTGTAGGTCTCTGGCAGTGCCAGCAGAAGAGGAAGAGGGAAGGGTGCAGGCTGCCTCCAGTCTCATCTCTTACCCTTCCTTCCTCACCCCTCCTTACCTCCTCCCAAATCCACCTGGTCATTTACAAACCAAAGATCTGGGGCCTCAGCCCGGCTTCAGTGTCTCTGCAGGTTCTCCCATCCCAAGACAAGCCCACCTCTGGCCTTCAAGCCCCTCGTTCAGATATCCAGGGCCTAGGGCTATGTATACCCCATGGCTGAGCCTGGATACCAGCCTGGAGCACCATGCAGGGCACCACAGTACAGATTCACCAGGCTTCCCATCTGTCTCCCCCACAGAGGGGACACAGGGCCAGGGTCCATGGCCGGGAGGCTACAAGGTCCACAAGGCAGAGAAGGTGGCCAAGAACCACAGGTGGCCACAGTGTCTGAGAGGCAGGGCCTCCGAGGATGTGGGTGTCTATCCAGCTCCTCACACCCCAGCACTAGGGACCTTTCCTGGGTCCACCCCGTCTGCAGCCCCAATGGCAGCACTCTATCTGTTGGACAGTTCTGCCTACATGGGATCTTTTTGGACACCCTGGTTTCCATCTACTTTTTCCTCTCTGAAGGGACAGCCCAGGTACCACCCTGTGTCTGCAAGGTCCTCTCCCTTCTGCGCAGAAAAGTTAGTCACTTCTCTGTCCCCTCTGTCCTCCAGTCCACATGCAACCCAGCTCAGCACTGGAAGGGAAACCCCAAGACGAGCCCCCTCTCTCAGCCCAGTGCTGCCCTAAGGGCCCTGTGCAGAAGGGCCAGCCCCATAACCACCACCAGGGCAGTGAGCAGTGGCTGAACTGCCATCACCTGTGCTTGGCCACACCAGTCCCCAGACGGGCTGACGAAGAGAGCCCCCAAATCCAGGGTGTTCAGAGTGTCTCTTCCTTGACAATGTCCTGAGGGTCCCCAAAGGCAGGGCCCTCAATCCTAGAAACTTCTAGTGGACACTGAGCCTCCTCACCCCCCTGCATGCCCTGAGCCAGCCTGGGTGAAGGGTCTCCATCATGCCAAGACAAGATCTTGCCCCTGGCCAGTTGATATGATGGAAAGTTTCATGAGTCAGCTTGGTCAGGCTGCAGCGTCCACCATGGTGTGTCCTGTACATGCTTGTCCTAACACCGACAAGCAGCTGACTAGCCACAAAGAGGACCCACCATGTGGGTGGGCCTTGTCCAAGCTTCCCTGAGGAAGAGAGTCTACTGTAGACGATCAATCCCCTTCTTCCTGAGATCCCAGGCTGCTGCCTACTGGGGGACTCAAACCCCCCTGCCTAGCTTCGGTCACATGAGCCAATTCTGTGAGATAAATTCCTTATACATGAGCACCTGCCCATGCGTGCCGACATATCTGTCAGTCGACATCTGTCCCCACAGCTGCACTGACACGCCTGCTGCTCTTGTTTCTCTGCCGGAACCTCACAGCCAAGTGATAACCGTACATCTCTCATGACAGTCACCTCATGAATCCCGCCTGGCTTCTCTGAAGTAAGGACTTTGTACCCCATGTGTGTGTGCACGTGTGTTCTACAATATCAGGAGCACAGCAGCGCCGGAGAATGGACCCAGAGCCTGCAACCCCCCAGCTCAGCCCCACCAGGAAGGCGTCCTGACCCAGGGCTGGGGCTTTTCCCAGACAGGCTTCCCTGGGCTCCTCACTCAGCCTACAGTGTTGGCTCAGGGCCTGGTAGTCCCAGGCCTTGTGGATGGTGTCTTCTCTGCTCAGGCCTACAGCACAGGTCCCAGGGTCCTGGTGCTGTGTGTCCAGAGCCACAGGAGCTAATTAGGCACCTGCAGGGAATGGGGCCCTCACCTCATGCCCCTGCCTACCCACTGCCCCTTGGGCCCCCAGCTGTACCTGACCGTAGGATGCTGGGCTCGGTGACCTTCTTGCCGTTGACATAGGTATCTGCCCCCTCACAAGGCTCCAGGGTCACCACGGCTACAGGACAGGTGAGGCAGAGAAGAAGACAGGAGGAGCTGTCATCTTCAGTGGCTCAGCCCACCAGGCCCCTCTCCTCCTACTAGCCACAGAGCCTGAGTGCTGGCAACACCTCATTTGGGCCTCAGAGGAGCTGGGGGAGGGCCTCACCCACTTAATAGAGAAGAGAAGTGACCCTTTGAAGGAAGACCCATGTGCCCAGGACAGAGTCAGGAGGCCATGCTAAGCCTGGCTGCCCAAGGCCCAAACAGGTCTCCAGATGGACAAAGATAAGAAATGTGTCCCCAGGGTTCCCAGAGCCCTCTGGCCTTTGGGCCTACTCCCACGGAAGAGAGCAGACACCTTGTGGACAGAGCATTCTGGGAGAATCAACCGTCCCCTACATTGCTTAGGGCCACTATCCTGAGGTAGCCACATAAAATGGCAGGCGCAGGTCATGGGTCTACAGGCCACAGGCTGTCCAGACACCTGCCGGAAGATGCCCTGAGCCCAGGCCAGGAGCACCGTGAGGGCACATAGAACAGCAGGCCCACCACCCAGACGGACAGCACCAGGCAATGGGGATGACCCCATGTCCCCTTTCAAAGGGAGGCTGGTGGGCAGTGAAGTGGACAGACGGCCACCCACAGCCAGCAGAGAAAGGCAGTGGGCTGGAATAGTTTTCCAGCCTGGATCTGGGCTTGCTCCTCCTGGCTCAGTTCTCTGCCCCATGAACCCCACCCTACTCCACCAAGTTTCCTGGCCAGCAGTCCTAGCACAAGGGGGCGGGGGGACAGCCCACTGTGTCCCACCCTCAGCCTTCAAAGAGGCTCAGCCACCGGGCACTTCCCTTAGCACATTTCTAATGGAGTTGTGCCAAGGCTGACCCAAACTCCACACACATGTGCACACATCCTGCCTAGAACTATAATGCCCCACTAGAGCTGGGGAGCTAAGGGAAGTGACAAGTGTCCTGGGCCAGGCAGCCAGCCGCACTCAGCCTGACCAGCAGCAGCACCAGGCAGGGGCTGCAGGGCAGTGATACCTTCGCTGCCGCCCCGGGAGTCGCTCCGGAATACACAGTGCTCTTCCTTGATGAAGTGCCCGCTCAGAACGATGTCCTGCCGCCTCTCTCCGTCCTCCCTGCCCACTCTGCAGGGTGGGGGCACCATCAGCATGGCAGCCAGGACCCAGCACAGCCCTGACAGAGCTGCCTGGGGATGACCAGCAGGACGAGGACACAGGGTACCACCCCAGCAGGCACCCACACCCGATGGACCCCTGTGGGAGACAGGGAGCCCATCCCACCTGGTGACCCCATCCTTGATGTAGTACAGGAGACACTCAGACATCAGTGGGTCCTCATTCAGGTTGACAAGATGTGGTGTCTGGTGGGAGATGGAGGTGTTACCTCACTGGGACCCAGAGCCCAGGGCTTTTCCCCACCTGACCTCCCCAGTCACCAGGCCACCAGGAGTCCTAGGCCTGGCATCCTGGGGGACTTGGCATCCTCCTGGCCAGGCAGAGACCACAGAAAATGGGGAGGAAATTCTCTCTAAGCACCCCAGGCCCCAGGTCAGCTGGTCACTCCCAGCCAGGAAAACCAAAAACAAGTCCTCAGCCAACACCCAACCAACCTGCCAGCAGGCCTCTTGTGCACACCCAGGCCTCCTGTGCATACCCAGGCCTCCTGCGCACACTCGAGCAGTCACCTGTGCATACCCAGGCCTCCTGTGCATACCCAGGCCTCCTGCACACACTCGAGCAGTCACCTGTGCACATCCAGGCCTCCTGTGCATACCCAGGCCTCCTGCGCACATTCAAGCAGTCACCTGTGCACACCCAGGCCTCCTGTGCATACCTAGGCCTCCTGCGCACACTCGAGCAGCCGCCTGTGCACACACAGGTCTCCTCCACATACCTGGGCCTCCTGTGCACACACAGGCCTCCTATGCACACACCAGCCTCCTCCACATACCTGGGCCTCTTGTGCACACACAGGCCTCCTATGCACACACAGGCCTCCTCCACATACCTGGGCCTCTTGTGCACACACAGGCCTCCTCCACATACCTGGGCCTCTTGTGCACACACAGGCCTCCTCCACATACCTGGGTCTTCTGTGCACACACAAGCCTCCTATGCACACACAGGCCTCCTCCACATACCTGGGCCTCCTGTGCATACC